TTTCACGCTCACAAAGGCTCGGTCGGTAGGCTTCATGCGCCACCTTGTGCAAAAGCTCACGCGGCGGCAGTGCAACATCCGAATACGGCGCTCTTCGGTTCAAGATCTCGAGCATCACTACAGACACAACAATAGCATGAGTCCCATGGTATCTCTGACATCGTGCAACGTACGCATGCTGAACGAGTAGACATCGATCTTTTCCGTATAGTCCTTCTCGCCTCGCAACATCTCGGGAGCCGTCCACGCAGGCGTCCCCACCAGCGACGTGTCGAGTCCGAGTTTGCCGCTGAGCTCGAAATTTGCCACCTTTGCCTTGAGATTGTGCCTAATCAAAACAAAACATATCAGATCTCATGGCCATGTTCGTGAATGAATGGGTACATGAGGTGAATGTTTTCAGCGCGCAGATCCCGATGAAGGATCGGCTTTGGCTGCGAATGGAGGTACAACATACCCCTCGCCACGTCCAATAGAATGTGTACAATAAGGTCGAGGCTCAGGTCCGCGTCGGACGCCAGCAGCCCCGCGAGCGTTCCGTGCACAGCGTGCTCCGTGACAACGTACAACGGTTTGCCCAGCTTCCAGCTGACGCCGAAAAACGAGGCGATGTTGGGATGGTACATGTCGATCAACTGACGCACGAGTCGGTTGAGCTTGCGGACCGATTCGAGTGTCGGTGATTCGATCCGCAGGATCGACGCCAGTGCGCCGTCAAAGGTCCCGTCGTGTGTCGCACCCCCAAGCGTACTGCAGCGCACGAGCGCTTCGCCAAGGACTTTGAGGGCCTCATAGGCTATCATGTAGGCCGGGGGAAGGCATGTGAGCATTTCGGGTGTTGCTTGCGGAGCGTCGATCGGCTTTGCGTTGCGATCCTGCGCCGCTTTGCTCGACGACGGGATCTTGGGCTTTGGTTGGTCAGCACTTGGCTGTGGGGCTTCCTTGCGCTTCAGGGGGTTGTGTTCGGTGGTTCTTTGCATGTGTGATGCGCTCGGAGTATTTGAAAGTGAGCTTCTCTTCTGAAGCAGAGTGGGTTTTTTAAAGTATATCAATTGTCCAAATTTACTGCAGTTCCAACAATTGACATTGTTCAAGTCTGCCTTGTTGGTAGTTTTGTTTTGTGCTCGCGAGTATGCTCGTATTGCTCCCCGATTCTTCTTGAGCAGGGTTGTGGGTAAGGGTACTAGGTGGCACTCGGGAGGAGATGAGGGGGGAGGAGAGAGCTGGGGAGGTTGGTTCGTGCGGGTTGGTTGGTTGATGATTTGCGGGGCTTGACCACGTTGGTTGGATTTGGTGGCGGAAGGGTCGTTGTAGAGGCGAAATGTAGAAACAGAACCGGCGAGCAAACGAGCTCGTCACTGGCGAGCTCAAACAAGCCGCGCCGCTGGCTCCTACGGCAGAGCGTCAGAGTCTGTTACATTCCGTGGCGATACAGTGCAACGTCTGCTGCTTTCGGAGTTGCCGCCGTTTCTTCGCTGCCGAGTCGTCGTGCGTGCTGGGGTAC